CTGTCTCATGTAGTGGACCACCAGGACAGAAGTAAACTGAAGACCTTTAGATCCCTGGCATTGAACTTCCCTTTCACCATTCCCATCCACAAGAGCCTCTCAGGCCACAATTCACAAAATCCAAATTTTGCGTTTTGAGCAGTTCTCCTCACATCCTTAGCTCCAAGATCTACATAGATTCCAATATGTGAAGCATAGATCTGTCCTTATTTACAACAAAAAACAAGTGACTGAATGTAAAACAACGTTTAATAAATCTGCAGAGCCTAAAGTACCAATATAATTCCAAGCAGGAAGATAGACATGCACTTCTTAATTAAGTGGGTGATGTTCTAGTTAAAACAAAAAAGACAACCCTGGGCCATAGCTAAGATTAAGCACATTCTCTTGCAAAGGAAGCTCTGACTGTTATCAATGTAAAGGCTTTAAATCACAAAAAATAAACCATCTAATAGTCTGTATTCAATAGTAAGTAGAAAGTCAGGACACAGACTGATTTGGATTAACACATTTTCAGTTATAACAAGTAATTTTACAGAGGATTAGTATCTTGATGGTCTGATCAATACTAGGCACTGCTGCTATTACAGATGAAGAGAAAATTACCCCTCCAGTAATAAAGTGTGTGTCTCGGTTCTCCTTCATTTGCTGAGTCCATTACTGTAATGGTTCCAGCATTAGCAGCTGAGGCAATTTAAACAGCAGGAATGTGATGAATTTAAAAGCAAGAAACATTCGCCACTCATTCTTTCTTGTATTTTATTCTGCATATGCAAGGCTTCTACCTGACCATTTCCAATATACAAATCATGTGTTATGTGACTATCAACACTATTTCTTAATTATTGTCCCATTAATAATGGGAAGGTCCAATAATGTGATTACCACAAAAATTGCTACTGGCATATTGGTTGCTGATTCTGCTAAAACGAGCACACCATTTACCTAAACAGAAATATGACATGACAAGAAGCTTATTTAACTGCATCTAAGCTGTTTCATTAATTTTCCTAAACACAATTTCTAAAAGAATCTAATCTGTCAATTAGAAAATGTTGTTTCTTTTGGCTCTTTTTAATAATGTGGTTTTGTCTTAAGAGGTAGAACAATAACTGGAAAAAATAAATCATTGTAATATTAGAACAAGCCATGGTAACAATGTTAAAGTTTTTAAACTTCATTGTATGGTATGGGCGCCATCTTTCAGCATTAATTCTAAAACCAAACCCTTGATCATGCATTGAAGTGCTTTGAGAATACTTGTCGAATTTTCCTTGAGCGTTAATATGTTGAAGCAACCTGTTTTAGCTTGTGAAGATGTATTACTTTGCAGGCAGTAAAAATGAGGATGATGCAAGAAATAAGACCTTCAATGATATCTCAGCTGAAACTCAGTATATTCCCTTTTTCTCCTTGTAAATAAAATACATACAAAGCTTTGTGTTATTTAAAGCTTTATATTTCCTTGCCACTTTGTCCAACATGCCTCACAAATGTGATACTGCATATGAATATCTTTGTAAAAGCCCCTGTGAATATTCAGATATGTGCATATTGATGCATTTATTATTTGTACAGCAATAAATTTATTGGACTGGGGTCCCAGCTGTGCTGGGAGCTGTACAAACATAACAGCAGTGTCTGTGGAATACATTCTCTGCAGTCAGTATTCACAGTAATGTGAATTAGCATAAACAGCTACATAAGGTAATTGTGAACTGGGTTTAATGGGCTATTCACAAGACCCATCAAGGTAATACCTTTACTTTAAAAGAAAATAATACTCCACGCTAGCTGAGTATCTTCTCTTTCACCTGGTAATGGCACAGGGTGTTAACATGCAAAGAGTGGTAGAGGAAGCATATACAGGAAATAACTAGAACTTGGCCTCTCCCATACTGAAACTTACTTTAAAAAAATCCACTTTGAATAAATAAGTCTCAAGAACACTAAGTTTTACATTAAATAATAACTTTTTTAACTCATCAATCAAGATAATAAACATTCTAAAAGCAAAAAGTTTTCTTCCCAAGTCTATAAGGAGCAAATAGCCTACTCAGATCACCCAACAGGAAGTTTGATTTTACTTTGCATAGTACATTTCTACACCCAGTGAAAAAGAAGTGACCAATTCTGACCAACAGGGTGAAGAAAAAAGAATCAAAATAACTATAAACTGTATTAATTAAGATGGAATTCTAAGCTAAAAATAACCAACCATGAACAATCCCTCAACAGACTGTTTCATAAAAATGCCTTTTCAGCTAATGAGCAACATCTACTGTAACAGTTCTGGTCTTATGCACAGAAATAATATTTGCTGTGGGGAAGACCAGAGTAGCTGATGGCTTGCAACAGCTCCAAAGGTATCTTTAGAAACTTCAGAATAGCTGTGTTTTGTTGTCCACTTAAGACTCAGAGAAATATTCTACAGGACATTATCAATGCCCCATATGGTGTTTAGAAAAGATGAGTAGTTGACTTCTGACTATGGTTTTCCTACTTTTCTTTCAGACCCTCTTCCCAAGAATGAATCTGCATCCTCCTCCTCCTGACTTGGAACACCAAATACTAGCACAAACAATTTCATTTCTGCTACACATTTAATCTTACTCAACCCAACTGAGTGATCTGCAAAGTGGAAATTGCTGTATGACAGCACTGCACTCTACAGAACTTCTACCACATGTACTTGGAACAGAAATGTTCTTCTATAACAGCATAAATCAAAACGTGCTATGTACAAGAAAATTCAAGCCAGAAAAAAGTTTATCACTTATAAGAAACATAGTACATAATTACAAAGCAAAAGCCAATCAGTGGGATTCTGATAGACAGCATTTAACTGTACACAATTATGGCAAAACAGGAACTTTTATTCAGGATTTAATTCTGGAAAACAAGAGACATTGCCAGAAGACACATAATCCAAACCAGCTTCTTTACCCAACCACTTCCCTCTCAGTAGTAGGCCTCATAAATCTTAGTCTCTAGAAGAGGTTGGGTTAACCTCACTAATATTTGGTTTGCTAAAAAATATTTTATTCAGTACTTAAATGGAAGTCTTGGCAGAACTACCACAAGAAAGACACTGTTCCTTTGTCTTCAGAATTTCTCAGGTGATCAGCATAAGCTAGGGATGGCTAAACCCAAGGACTGAAGGGTGACTGGGCACACTGCCAGGAGCCCAGAGATTACATCTCCAATTGAGTTGTAATTAGTATGCGGATGCTTCATTGGGAAAAAAAACCCGCTTATGTTCCTTCTAGCATATCCCCTCCTTTTCCCATTGCTGCCCTCTCCTTTGGCAGCCTTTATTCTAAGACATTCTACAGGCTCAATTTTGCTTCACTTTCAATACACTCACCTTCTCTCAAATAGTACCCAGCTTACCACTCTCTCTAAGGCATTATATAAGTATTGAAACCCTTAATTCTCTGTAAGAATCTTTTCTCTTTCATCCTTCTCTGTCTATGCACCTACAACATCGAGTTGTGTCTAGAGCAGTACTCTTGCACTTGACCTCAAGTTCTTCTCATGCATTGTTCTTGACAGCTCTTCAAGTGCCTGTCCTCCCACAGCCTTTGCCAATGTAGTTCACAGCACCATCCTTTCACCCCTCACAGGTCCCCCTGAGCCATTATCTTATCAAGGGCCTCTATTCTCCTAATGCCAATGATTCCCAAATACATTCAAGACCTATTGACAAGACAAAGGCCCTTGGATGGACAACGTAAATGTACAGGCTAAAAAAAGTATGGGTTGAGTTTTTTTCTGCATTGTATTGGATGGGACATCTGCGTATGTTTAGACATACATGGAAAGGGCAGAACACAAATGTAACACTGAAATTGCTGTCCCCAAACAACTTAGGATAGCAGAAAGACAAATTACAAAATAACCAGGTTATTTTGTAATTTGGACAGGTAGTTCTTAAGGAGTTGTTATGAAACTTACTAGGGCAAAGAGGCCTTGTAGTTTTCTAGTAAATTACTTAGTTGCAAACTTACATCAGGCCTTTTCCCTGCCTTTGCGGGGAAGAGTATTTTTAATACTGAATAGTAAATTATTAGCAATACCAAAGCCAGCATGTTCCCTGTTCAGGTGTATGAGATTAGCCTTTTCAAAGGCATTTTCTAAATTTATAATGGAATTAGCCTTCTTTTCACTAACACTTCTAATATCAGTACTGTGCTTTTCAAACAAGTCACTTACTGGCTCTCAGTACTACTGTTTTGTAAACAAATCCAGCAGAAGTACGACAACCATCAAGAGCTGAAGTAAAATATTGTACAATGTAGTAAAACAAGCCCTTCAAAGGCCCCTGAAACAGCAAACACTCAGCACTCCTGTTTGCTTCCACAGTGAAATAGCATCTTCAATGTAAGCATGTAACAGCGCTGCATCTAAACACGTGAACAAGAAAAGAAACATTATAAAGCCCGGGCGGTATAACAGACTTAAAAGTATTTATTTAGGTGAGACTTAGTGTAGAGTACTTTTAAGAATTAGGCGCAGTTACACAGTGAGTGCATCATCTCACTGTGAATGTGTCAACAAAAACAAACACACAGTCCTTGCATCATTGTTTTCCTATAACACAGCACTCTCTTTAAAATTGAAATGTCTTGCCCAGATGACACACGCCTTTACCACTAGCTCCTGTTAACGCAGTACGAGGTGCCCCTCGCTCGGGGGAGGGGGATCGGGCATTTCCAGGCAAGCAGAGCCCCCTGCCCGGGCAGCCCGGCGGAGCCGCGGGCGCTGCGGGGCACACGCGGCCGTGCGGAGCTCACCCCGGCTCCGCACCGCGCCGAGCTCGGGGCCGCAGCTCCTTCCTTCTCACAACGAACTTCACGGCGGCCTCGGAGCTCCAGCACTGGAGCTACCGGAGCCCCGGCGAGCTCTGCCCCGCACAGCCCCACGAGCGGCGGAGAGGGCTGGGCAGGGGCACACACGCTCCTCGGGGCTGCGGGGAGCAGGAAGCAAACGGAAGGTACCTTCAGTTCTTTCTCCCGCTCCCCTGCTCGCCTCTTCATGGTGCCGCCTTAGCCGTCCGCACGGAGCGGAACAGCGCACCGCAGGAGCCCCGCGCAGCTTCGCCGGCAGCGGCCGGACCGCAGCTCCGCGGGCTTTGCGCGGCCCCGCCCCGAACTCCAAGTCCCGGCAGGCCCAGGGCGGCCCGGAAGGGGAAGGGCCCGGTTGGCAACAGCGGCAGCGGCTAACGGAGTGCTGAGGAAGCCAGGGATGGCGGGGGTTGTGAGTACGAGGGGAGCTTCTCCTCCTCTGGGCACGGCGCGGGGAGGACCGGGGCGCTGGGGCTGCCCGGGGCGCTGGAGCGGGCGGGCCCCGGGCGGGCAGGCGAGGAGCGGGGCTGGCGGGACCCGCGCTGCGGGCGGCGGTTCCAGACCCGAGAGGCTCCTCGCTCGGTGCCCGTGGGAAAAGGCTGGGAGCCTGAGCGTTTGGTTGAAAGTAGCCCTGTAGGGCTCTGTTTTGTGCCGGGAAAGGCCGCGGGGCCGAAGCGGGAGCGGAGCTCCGTGCCCGAGGGCGGGCCAGCCCGGGCCGTGTAGGCGTTCCCTCATGAGGCGAGCGCTGCCTTCCCTGCGGCCCTGCCCCTCCCGGCCCCGAGCTAGCGCGGCTGAATCAAAATCGGGAAGCTTTGTAAAATATGTTCACGGCAAGACACGGTTGTTTGGATTTTTCTGTGTTGAAGTAGGACTTACAGGCCTGAGAGATGTTTCTTCCCTCAGGCAACAGTGGGATGTTGTGATCCCATTTCCTAACATTTTCCATATCTTCTCCCTTTTTTTCCCCCCGTCTGCCTCCCAAAACACACAGCACTGCAACACATGATATTTGAAAGATGGTATGTGTTTATATTTCCACCAAGTAATAAATGAGATTATTTTAGGTTACAAGACCAATAAAGTGCAAACATGTATATTTTAAAGACTCAGTAAAGGAGAACATAGGCTGCAAATACATTATGATAAGCTAAGATAGGTGGGTGGTCCCTGCCACCTCCTTTTTTAAATTCCCTCTACCAGGGAAGTGGGATTTTGTAACAAAAGGATCATCTTGCCCATGTCTGAACTCAAATTCAAACACCATGTTGAAACAATTAAGTTGTAATTCTTATGATTTCGTTAGAAATCACCTCACTGGAAGTCACTTATAGACCCATTGGCTGAGAACTTTCAAAAAATTAAGTAATCCCCACTCAGTTTTGCTACCTTTGAATGATGTTGGTACAAAAGTACACTTCTGTGAGTTATATAGGAATCTGAACCTAAAGCATGAGCTTTGATAAGTATTAATTTTATTAGTGTCACGCTTGTATAGAGTGCAAAGTTGTGTGCAGTTTTTTTGTAGAAAATTTTTAGATACAGGTAGTGATAGAGCCACTTTTGTAGGCTGTGAAGTGTGTAAGAGAGTTACAGTTTCTTTGACTTCAGTAGTTATATTGAAAATTCTTGCTTATACCTAACTTGAAGTTCTTACAGGTTAACAGAAATATGGGGAATATTCGTCTCTTTGTACGTTGTTGAGCTCTGTAGTTTTGAGAAACAATCTGTGCTGAAGTGATTGTAGGGTAGCCTTTCTTGGAAATAAAGCCTGGTTTAAGTTTTTGAGGTTGAGGATGGCATGTGGATCTGTCCAGATGCAAATACAAATTTATATCTCTCTCAGTTATGCTTCTTTTAGGAAATGCTGCACTTTTAAGTGCCATAATTTTTGTTGCAGTGTTGCTGTACAGTTTTGTCAGATGTAATCACTTTGGAAATGCTTTCAAAAGTAATACAGAATGCTGTGGAGAAATCTCATATGCTTTTAGAAATAATGCTGGAACTGGACTGCAAAGAAAAGTAATTTTGTTTAAGTGTTTGTGATTGACACTCAGATAATATTCAAAGAGGAACTGTAACATATGTAACACATGCTTTGATGTTTGAAGTGTCCTCTCTCAAAGCAGCAGCATAACTGGTGGTTATTAGTGATTATTAAAGACATGGGTATGTTACTAATCAGGCAAATAAGCTGCCAAGCCAAATTCTAAATCTGTAATTATATTTGGCCTCCCTTAAACCAGGAGGCATGTTTGTACTATTTCTGTCTAAAACCACTGTATCTGATAAAACCAATTAATACGGTTGTTTTTTTCATTTTCTTTTTCTGTGGCCCACAACAGAAAAGATAGCTGAATGCTTAATTTCTGACACTTTGTAATGGAGATGAAACAATTCTTACTCTTCCTTTTGAAAATTTGACCTTCTAAGTTTTCAGGACACTTTAGATTTGAAGTCGCTTTATTTTGACACTTCAAATCATGTCATGTTGCCAGGAAAAATTTGCTTTGTGTGCATCTCTGCTGTGTTAGTTTGCTTACAGCTCAAGTATTTCTGTGGTTTTGCTGCAGCCAGTAATGGATTACTGCTGACAAGAGTTGTTTGTTTATTTGAGTGACAAGCATGTGTTGTTTTGTCTCTGTTTTTAAATGAGTAGATTTCTCCCATACTAAAGATAACAGGTAGATATCCATAGTAAAGTTTCTTCAGCATATAGTGAAAACCAGTAATGTTTGTCTGCCTGTTACTGTTCTGGAGTTCTTAAAGCCTGATTTTGATAGATCACAAACATTGTGGAGTCATGCTGATAAAATACTTGTTCAGCTCTTGATGCCCAGAAAAAGCCTCTGTCATTTTTGATCTGTGAAAGCAAGGACAACCACATTCTAGAAAGATGTATCGTGGCAGCATCTTCTCCTTGCTACCATCATGAACCAGATTTAGCTGATCCTCTGGAGGTAAAATGTCTGTTTCCCTTTGATCTCAGTTGCTGAGGCCCTACTGGTACAGGGACATGTAATAGTAACCACAGTAATGAACCTAGACCTGAGTGAAGCCAATGACTGGAGAGAGAGCTAATTTAACACATTACAGAGAAGTTTGGAGGATTTTGTAAGAGCAATGCAAAAAGAGCTGAGGATGCTGAGGAGCTGGATTCCAGTGGATATTTGTTTGCATTGGTTGCCATCAGCTGAGTGGTGTGGACATCAACATCCCAGAGTAGTATCTTCTGTCACTGACAACATTGAAACTGCAACCATATTGCAAGTCTACAACTGTAGATCAGTTCACTTCTATGGTCATGATAAGGAAACATTTGTTCCACATGGAAGAAAAATGTGTTTCTGTTTATTCATAAACAGTGAAGTCTGGAAATAATATTTTATCATAAATTTTAGTGATGAAAAAACCAAAAGATTAAAAGCAAGACTGACTTGTTGGAAACTAAATTTCCATTAATCCCTTTTGTTTCTTAGAACAAAGCCATAAGGAGAGTTATTTATGATGGAAGAAAAAGCTTAGGCAGCACTTTTGATTATGATTGAATTAACAGATATTTAATGGAATGTCTGTTGATTGTACCATGTTGCTTCTGCCCTCTGATGCAAGTCTCTAGTAGCATCTCTGTTATTTTCCCAGTGCTTTCCTGGATGGTTCTGGATTGACTAAGGATTGATATCACCTGAAGAGTGTAACAATGGTTTTGGGGGTAAGACTGTCGAAAAGACTTCACATCTCTCCTTTTCCTGTTGTTTCAGCATTGCTTGACTCAGTGACCAACATGTAATTTTCTGCACCAGAAGACAAGAAGGAAACAGCAATTGTTAACAAGTATGTTCATATATTACACCAAAACAAATGTAGTACTTCTTCACATTAGTACTTTCCTAGTCTCACTATGTCATGTAGCTAAGTTTTCTGTTGCTGCAAGAAAGAATCACCTTCAGATTTATGAGAATCATTCATAGGAGACTTTCTGTCTTAAAAAGTAATTTCTTATATGACAGTGGTTGAAAGAAGACTAAGAGAATGCCAGGCAACACTGGAATGACTTCATAACCCCCAGCACCTGTTTCAAAGAGTTCCATTCAAAGCATAGAAGATGACATTACTCATCTACCATTCTATGCCTTAAGCTTTTACCTCTCTTAAAATGAACAAACAATTAAAAAAACCCAAAAACCACAATTAAACAAACAACCCGCAGGTCCCCTTCCCACATCCACTTGGAAATATGGCCTTAGCCCAAATATTCCTGAAAACAGCACAACTAGAGCTTCAGAAAGCTGTTTGTACATGTATTAAATAGAATTGGAGCTATTGCATAACAAAGGTGTGTCTTGTGAATGGATTAAAACTGGCATAAAATTAAACTTGAGAACTTCAGAGTTTAGATTGTCCTCTGAGTAATGTAGTTGAGATAGGAGCATTCACAAGTCTGTCATTTCAGTGAATCTGCCATAACTTTTGCCTTCATTTCGTATGGTGTATTGTTCTTTCTAGTCTCAGTTTAAATAACAGATGAAGAGGAATTTCATTTGAATTTTGTTATCCCTAGATAAGCCATGCCTGTTGCAGCTGATGTAACTGTGGGGGACCTGCCTGTGAGACATACAGGTCTAACTCCAGCTGGAATGGAAGGATTACAAGGTTTGTACCAGCTGCTATTTATTACAGCTACAGACTTTGATCAGTGGCTTCTTTAGTTTCTTTCTAAAAATGTTTCTGATGTTGCCACTCACAAAATTAAGTTCAAATACCATTCAAAATCTGGGTTAAATTGTGAAAGATGCTGTGACCCATTCTATGTTCAAGTTGCTTGTTATAAGAGCAGAGTTGCTATGAGATGCTAAAAACTGAAAATGTCATTGAGCTGTAACATTCATACATCCAGAAGAAAAGAGGATTTTTTGCTGAATTGAGGACAAGGCCAGATCCATTTCACAAAATGGGAACCAAAAGTATTATGCAATTCTGATATGTTACTCAGCAGCTATTAGAATGGAACAACTGGGCTTAGTCTTGTATCTGAGTAAATTTACAGAATTATGAATTAATATTTTCAAGCTTCAATATAATATGTTAATTTTGGAATAGATTAGAAAGAATGGTAATACTTATTTTGAGATAGTATCTTTGGCAGAACCTGGTTACTTGGTAAATTGTTACCTTTCTGTTGTCTAGTATGAAAACAGGTTGCTGTATAATTTTAATTACTTTTTTTTTTAATCTGTAAGAGGAGGGAGAAAGGAAGTGATTAAAATTACTATAAATCAAAAAAAAAAAACCCCAGACTTGTACAAGTATAAAATATAAAATTACTTAAAATTTTTGGGGGATTCAGTATTTTAAAATGAGTTTTGACTTTGAGCTACATGTTGTTGAATGTATTGAAGATAATTTAAAGTTGTCTTTGTTTGGGTAGAATCATGAACTGCACTGAATATAAAAGCTCAACAAGCTAGGTAACAAATGAGTCAAGAAGAACTGGAGGACAGATTTCTTCATGTACATGATGATCACATCTTACTCAAGCAGCATGCAAATGAGCAAGAGGAGAAAGCTAAAAGGTATGGGGGCTAATACTTTTATTTTAGCTTACAGGAATATTTTTGTCCTTTAAAACATCAACAAATTGAAAATGCTGACTTCTCTCAGAGCACTTTTTAAAGCAGTAGCAAAAATCACTCTTTGGAATGAATTATTTTTAATTTCTGGTTATGTCTGTGTATGTATGTCTTTGTGGTGGTCTGTGTTAGATCTCCATGCCCAGAGCTACAGCACTGTCTGTCACTTGGAGCTGGTACCTTGTGTTCAGAGCTATGCTGTTAGAGTGTTCTGGGAACTGTAGAAAAGGCTATAGAAACCTAATGATTCATCAGCAATTGCATTCTAGAATCAAAATTCTGTGTACAGTGAGATTCCACCCCTATATATTAAACTTAATGCTGTGCTGGCAAACCAGGGTGGGCTCAGCAGAGCTGTTCATGGTATTAATGCCTTGCAGGAGGGCTAATTAATCCAAAAGCACTGTGACTCTGTGCTCACATTGTGCTGTGCTTAATAAAGTCATGCTGCATCCAAACAAGGTGTAGTCAAAAGCTAACAGATTCATAAAAGGGCAGCTGAAAACACTGCTTCTTATAATTTTTTAAGTCCAAGGAATTCTTTCCTTCTGACTCAGTATTCAGTGAGTCAGGAACAAATTGACCAGCATGACATAACTTCCATCTTTTCAGTCAGGCTGTTGTCAAATCCAAGATGGTGGAACAAATGAATTGTTTGCTTACTCCAAAGGGATTTCCTGTGTGTCTGTTAGGTTCCTTACCAAATGCATTCATCATCCACTTAGGTAGCATTACACAGAATGTTCAAATTGGAATACCTGAATTTATACTTTATGGCACAGAAAATAAAAAATATAGTGTTTGCTAGAGAAAAAACTTAACTCCTCAAGTTGAATTTCTTTTCCAGCATTCCTTGCCAAAACCCTTTTAACTAGAAGTTTGGAATGAATTTGCAGTAGAAGAACATTGAAAAAACTCCATGTAAACAAAAAACCTGCTTACAGGCAAGTAACATTCTGTGACATCCTGAAGTTATTAGGGATTTTTTTTTGTTTCACTTTTGTTCTTTTAAGTAGAAGCTTCTGTCCACAAGTATACAAAAAATAAAACAAGTCTCTTTAAACAAATGAAGTGTGTCCTTATTTTCAGTTTTCTTTATGGGCCTTCAAAAATAGATTTCCTGTATACTGGATACAGGTCTCAAAGATGTGCAACCGACTTTGTAAAGTCTTGAACTTGTCTCTCTCATCAAAGCCACCTTTTCTTTCTTTATATGCCAAGTTTTTTGCATTCACTTCTGGGTATGTTTTGTGTTCATGCATGTTACATCACCCCCATGTGCCCTCACTGCCTTTTGTTCTAGCTTACCAATGTTTATCAGAACGAAGGGAAATCAAAGGTACAACGCTTGAGATACCAAAAGCAAAATTTGTATCTTTCTAAAGACAGATGATAGCCATACCCTCTGTGTCTAATTATATTCTGCAGCTAACTGTTCCTTCTCCAAAGCACACTGGAAATATTTGCCAAGTATAAAATTGAGTATGGTAATGAAAGCTGTTAAGTCTTTTTTTCCAGTGTACCTTCTTAAATATTTCCACCTATATATTTCAGCCACTTTAGACATTGAATATATATTTAAATCCCAAAAAACTAGAAATTGTATATAATTGGAACGTTGCATATTATTAGCATTCTTTCAATAGTTGAATGTTCTGTGGAATTGTAGCTTTTATAGTTTGCCCCACCACATCCCAAATCTGTAACTTTACTTAACAGCATGCAGAGGTTCCTATATAAGGTCATGCGTTAAAAATTACATTTAAGCACCATATGGAGTAAATATGTGTCCTCCCTTTACTAACCTTAAATGATAAGCCTTAGGAAACTGTTATTTGTCAGTGCTATAAAGCAGATTGCTGCACAGTGGTTTCAATTATCTTCAAAGAGTTCTTCACAGGCAGTAATAGTTATATCAAAACCTGAAATTTATTATTCAGGTTCTATGCTGAAGTCTTCACAGTGATTATGTTCCTTTCAACAGAGTGCTTTTTATGCTGACTTTTCACATTCTTTTTCATCTTTTTTATTATTTTCCCCAGAATGACCACAAAGTTAATACAGCTTGTTAATGATAAAAAAAGTCTGAACAGGTTGGTGGCGGCCCCAAGTGGCTGGGTCAGGCCTGGAGCTGGAAGAAAGAACTGTGCATTGACAAGAAAAAGTTCATGAGCTTGAGAAACAAAGTGAGAGTCTCCCCTTTCAGCTGACCAGCAGCTCCAGATTCCAGGCCACAGGCCTTGTCCATGCAGCTGTGTTCAATCTTTTATTAGCAGTGGTCTCAGAAAAGTGAGCGAGGTTGCTGGTATGCCAGAGCACGCAAGGAAAGGTGTAATTCACATTTATTAAAAACAATGGTTTATATCCCTAACAGTTGCTTCACTGTAGCAAGTCCATACTCTTTTTTTGTTCATCAGTGGGCAATAATACTACCTGTAGGCAGAAAGATTGTTCTTTCCCCTTGCTCTTGTATCTATTTATAGCAGTCATGATAACTTGCTTGCCTTTGAAGTCCTTATTATGAGATTCTACAGTAGTTGGGCTTAAACAAAAGTACAGATTTTAGAAGACAGTAGCTATCAGGCAAGTTTTCTAATAGTTAAAATCATTGGACTTCCTTAGTAAAACTTCTCTACATGTTAAAGGGTTATAAAAGTAGTATATGAAAAAGTTTAGTGTTTTCATGTTATAACAAAATTTCACATCTGTAGTTTGTTTGCACGTGTTTTCCCTTTTTTAATTTCAAGGTTTGTTCTAGTCTCTTGATACATGTGTGCACAGCACTGCAGACTTGAAAAATCTCTCACACGTGTGGACTTTGAAAAGCAAATACTACAATGCAGCCATCTGTAATGGTGCTTTTTACTGTCGAGACTTTCTGCTTAAGGCAAGCTCCCTCTCAGGCCTTTACTTACTGTAGTTACATTTGGGAATCACACTTGAAAACTTTCATATTTTCATAGGAACATTTAGTTAACCTATACACTGAACTGATAATGTATTTCAAAAAGCCCCCAACAGCTACAGCACTGATTCAAACCTGAATCAGCAGAATTGTCTCCTTTACTTCCAGAAACCATGGATCAGGCTGGTGGCCAGTTACACCCTCACACCATCTTCATATTTATTACATTGATTTGGGTATATGATAACAGCAACAATTCTCATGTTTTTAGATAAAAATTGTGTTTGTTTCTTCCAATATGCCTCTCTAATCTATTTGTAATGCAAGTTTTGATTATTTTCATGCACCTATGTTTTTACACTTCTTATCATTAATTGGGCACTTTTATTCCCAAAATCACTTTGTTTGGTTTTTATCTTAACAATGCAAAAATAGGGTGGAAATATAATAAATTTATTCAGGCCCAGTGCTACCAGAAAGAAGATGGCAACTTGGTTCTGGGAGTACAGATCAAATGTTGATGTAACAGAGTGGGAAGACTTACCTTGGTATAAAAACAGATCCAGATCTAAGATGTCCTGTGCAGAACTAGGACTGGGACCATATTGATTAAGGCAGAGATTCTTAAACTGAAGCAAACATTAATACTTAAAAATAAAACAAAAAAAGGAAAAGCTGTCCACAGAAGGTCCAGCTCAGATAACAATGTTCAGGAATTTCATAGAAGTTGTAGTGTGTCTGTCTGTTTCCTGGGTCCTTGTCCAAACCAGAGGGGATTCTGGTAATTTGAGTGCTCTGAACATGCAATTTCTTGAACACATTTTCTTAAGGTGAAGACTTACTAGAAATCTAGTAACCAATACTCAGAACGTGAACACAGAGCATTGTCTTCCATAAGGACAGAGAATACTTTGTATAATATTCATTCAGCATAGACTGTTTCATGTTTTTGTGTTGCCTATGTCCTTGTCCTGCCCTTTTGATCAATGATGAAAAACCAGACTGATGCTGGGTTTGTGCCCTCTTTTTTTTTAAGACTGTTGAACTCTTAGATTGCTCAGTCAAAACTCTCAAATCATTTTTAGTGTAGATCAGAAAACATGCAGGACACTTATCCAAAAATAAAATGCCTGGAAAAATTCAGGAGAGCCTGGCTTTCTCTAGGTTATGAAGAGACAAAAAAAATCCACAAAGAATAAATATACCTTATTGTGTCTGTTTTGAGTTTGGCTGCTTTAAAAATACCATAGCATATTGATCCAAAAGATCTTCAATATAGTTCTTGCAAAATTTTAGGTGTAAGTTCATACCAAACAATTTAATGTTCATTACTACCCATTAATAATTTAGAATATAGAAATAGTAGAAAACTATTGGCCTTGTATAGGGGTAGAGTAGCAAATTAGGTGTAGCTGTGCAGTGCAGCCAAGTCAGGCAAACATGCATGTAGAATGTGTTCATATTAATTAAATCTTTTTCTATTTTTTTTGCTTTTGCAAAAAAATAAATGCAAAATTCTGCAGCTTTGCATGTATTTTCCCCTTTTTGAGTGTTTCAGTTTCAGACTTTTACCTTTAGTGGTGTTAAGGGTGTAGTATGGGATGATGCTGCAGTCCTTACTCGTTTGATTTCAATGGAAGTTCTCCTTGATGAGAAATATGTCATCAGTTCTGTAACTGCCTTTCAAGGGAGGGACCCCGTTACTATGTGTGAGCATTCTTTTGTGCATCAGTGGTGCTACATAAATAATACATCATAATGTTTGCTATTAAATTATTCACAGAGTCATAAGTCTCCCCTATTCAGAATTTCCTTTATATAGTTTAAATAGGTTAAAGAAGTTGTTATCAGAAATAATGTCTCAGTCTGTACCTACAGTGAGTCCAGAAAATATTTAAAATATTTTTTCATTGTTTGAAAGTAATCTGTTTTGAAGAACTTCTGTGCTTCATTTTTGTATGAACACTCTTCTTCAAGTACAGCAGACAGAAACTGAAGATAACATCTAAATTTGATGTCAACTACCACATTTATGTGAAAACTTTTAAGGAGTCTGAAAGTAAAGATGCACTTCAAATACAGCTTAAAAAAATCTTCAAATAAAGCCACACTCTAAAAAGTAGTACAAATCCTTATTTATGTTTATCAAATTACTTGTATCCAAACCATGATACTTGACTTAAGTTACTATCTGTGAGTTAAGTTCTGGAAGTATTTCCTCTATAATCTATGTCTAGCTTGAAACCTGATAGAAGATATGTTATTTGAGAGATGCTGTGTTTGACTGAAAATACTAGGAAATAAATTGAAAAATGTCCACCAGTACATATGCCATAATTTTGCCTCCGGAATACTTTATGGGAGACTCTTAATCCTCATGTTTTCCAAGTCATGTATTTTTATGGTGAATGCACAGAGCCAGAACTTAAAGAGATCCATGAACGTTATATTCTGGACACTTTTCATTAGCTTACTTTCTTGAGAGTGTTGTAACTGCTATCTAGAACAGTCTGTATGAGTTGTTTTATTGCCCAAATAATCCTGCAGGTGTTGTGCCATTCTTATTTTTAATCTTTGTATCAGCAGAGAAGGAATGTCAATACTGGAGTACTGGAGAAAAACCTGAACATTTTGGTGACCTGTAAGGTCATCTTAGTTCATCTTTGTAGCTTATTTCTTTGAATTTTGATATTATTAGCAGCTTTTTCATGTGTTTTGTAAGAAAACACGTGGCTGTCATCCTGCTACGTAACCAAGTAAAGACAGTGTTGAAATTCTTTAGAAGCTGTGTGGTGCCAAAAGAACTGGGCTCCTACCAATCTCTTTGTGTAGCACCATTTCATGTCAGCCTGCTGTTAGACTTCTGCCAACCTTTAGGAAAACATTCTTTATTTTGCTACATGTTTAAGAAGTTCTTGTGATTGAAATAACTGTAATTACCAAATACTGAAGCCACAGTTAATCATTTGTCCACCATCAATAAGGAAGGGAGGTGCTGGTTATCCTGAGTCCTATATCCACAAAAAATCCAGTGATACTTTAAAGCTGATTTGCAGCTTCACTGCAGTTTCTGTCTAACACTGGAACTACATACACGAGCTGAGTTGACATGCAACACTCCTTGAGATGATTATTGTAATGTGGCTGCAATCAATGGGGTTTTTTCCATATTTAGTTGGAGTTTGTTTGGGGATTCTTTCAGGAATGTAGAAATCTGCCTTAAGGGACAAACTTAGCCTATGGATTATTAGACTAAACACATTTTAAGTACAAAATTTATCTACAATTAGCTTGACTGTTCATAATGAAAAGATGGCTGAAACCACAGCCTTGTGATTTGATGTCTATGGTATGCACTGTGCAAGGTAAAACATTAATTCTAAATAAAATCATTTTGTAAGCAGGTATCTTCAGATTACTTAATTACTCATAGTACTTTCCAAAAATATCTTTGGAGCCATCCAGACTGTATTTGTGAAACAGGTATTTGCATGTTTGTGGTTTTCTTTGTGTGTTTAGTTGATTTTTTTTATGAAAGAAGCTTATTTGCTTGTCAGTTTTTAATTCCTTTGGCATTTTTTGCTGCATTGTTACTCTGGATTTAAACCTATTAGCTGTGTTACTTAAATTAATTAGATGTATGTAGTACTGCACATTCATGTTCTTCTCTGTTTGGGACTGTGTCTTGGACATTGGTGTATTTGTGGTTGAGAACAATTAACTGAAAAGCCTTCTGTTTATTTTGCCAGACAGAGGGCAGGTGACCTTGGGAAGTTTGGTACATATTTTACATATTGATGTATGTAAAATATTTACATATTTTACATATTTGATACATATTTTACTTGCTTGGTTTTCAGTTGTGAATATGGATGGGTAAAAGTTTTTTAGCCATTAATCCAGTAAATACAATAGTCAGGGCTCCTTAAGAGTAGTCATGGTATTGTATCCATGTCCTGCTCATATGGAAGCAAAGACAAGATGCAAGGGATGTGGTTTAATTAGACCTCAATTTTATTAGCTTAGCCATCTGGGATTTACTGGCATAAATTTGTACAGTGGAGGTCAAGATCCTTTCTTTAATCATTTCCTTCTGGTGTAAGTTGCTATCAGTGCCCCATTCCCACACAGCTGGTCCCCAGCCTGTTACTGGGACTCCACTCGACATGCTTTTAATCCAAATGATAAGAGGTCTGGAAGGGAGATTGTCTCTTTGGTGTAGTTCAGACATTAACCCCAAAGATAATCCTTAGCTTTTTTAAGAGTCACTTTCTCCTAACTTCGTTTTCCATTTCAGACTTTTAAAGGCAGCATGAAGATGAGGTTTAAAGGAAGGATAGAGTTCATGTTCCTTATTTCTGCAGTTGTGGTAGAAGGCATAGAGCTAGATCAGTTTGCCCATTAATTCATGTTATTGCCTCCAAAGGGATATTAGTTCTTTTTCTTTTTTTCTGACTTCTGTTCAGCTCTACTTCCACGTGTCCAAGTTCTGTAGCAATTTTTTTATTTTTTAATTTTTGGGCACTAAAGAAAATACTGCTTGAAAATACTACTTATCTCAGTACAAGTTTAGCCTTATACGTTACTTTGAGGGAAGTATTTGTTTTAGTGAAAAATACTAGTTAATGTCTATTAAATCTACATAACCCCTATTTTTAAGTAATATCCGAATACCTGGGCAGATGTTCAGGGGGCAGAATATACCTGCCTGAGAGGGAGAAGCCTGTGTAGATAATCGTTTTCTATTCTACTGGTTTATGACTTCATTTCTAGAAAAATGATCCTTCCCAACAGAGTCTTCCTCAATTAACTGTGCCTTACCCATGAAATCTGAGAAGATCTCATTGTTCAACAGCAAGCTCTTTTTCATATACCTCGATGCAATGGACATTTCTTATTCAGATTTTATTTTAATAAATAAAGAAATTGTGATCAATGTAACGCACTAATAAGTAATTAATTGCACATGGTTTCTCTAGCTCTTACAATTGCAAGAATTGAAATGATCCAAATAAAAAAAATATTTCACATCTGAATTTGAATAATTTGGTCCATAATATTAATATCTAAAACCTGTTTTAATCAAATGCCGTTTCATTCACTATTGAAAAAATAGTTAATGTTGACTGTCAGAAGCTATGGAGTTTACATCTGTACATCATAAATTTCACTATCATCTGCTCCTTTTTCTACTTAAAAAGAAAAAAAAAAGCCCCCTGCTTAAAAAAGAAAGGAAAAAAAGGGGCCTTTGAAGGCATCAGACCCTTTTGTTTGATGTGTGGAACAAGATTAATAAAAACGTGCCACTACATTAGCTTTTAAATAGCTAGCATGAGACAGTGCTGCTGTCTATACTCACCACAACTTTAATTTATGTAGATAACATGTTTTAGACACATGATAGTTTTAGCTTTGAGTTAGGCCTGTTTCTTGGGGAAGATCTCAGATTTGTGACTGTGTTTATCTTTTGTGCAAGGACAATTAACTGGGTAATGCCAAAACACAATAGCATTTGATATTTTGAAGAATAAAAGGAAAATGTTTCACGTATCCAGCTGGTTTACAGATGTGTAAACTTTGTAAGCCATTCTCTTGCTGCAGCATGGCATTGTGACTGTATATCCAATACGTCTAAAATTTATAAATATTGGAAGAGAAAATGCCTTTTTAAATGTTTTTTTGGTGTATAATAATTTATATTAATACAAATCATTATCAAATCTTGTAGTTGTAACCTTAGAATTGTAAGAATATCTACATAAATATTAAATTATTTTCATGTAGTTGACACACCTGCAACATGTTTGAGTACAAGCCTTCAGTTGTTACAAGTTGCTAAAACCCTTTTATTACCAGAATTTAATATGTTTAAACTATAAGAGAGAATTTTTAAAAATGGTATTCTACTGGCACCAAATATTTCAGATGGTGAAAAAGTGAATGGAGAACAAATAATCTCTTTAAGTACGAGATGTAAGTTTTTTCTGTCATGTCCTGTTTTATACAATAATCAAAGATGTTGATATATTGTTTAAAGCTGCTGTATCTTCATGTTTATTCACCTACATTCTGTAATGTCAATTATAGAAGAAATTAATTTGTGCATTAAACACTAAATCTCCTACATTTTTGTAATCAGCTTTTGTAGAAAGCTGATTTGCAAAACAAGTTCAACTTTTCAAAAGCTCATGATATAGTTATTTTTAAATTTGAAGACTAAATGTTTGGGACAGTGTGGAAATTATGAAGGTCTGTAAACAACTGGTTGAGAAAAGTAGTTCTGTTTCAGCAATGGAATGGAAATTTCTCCAGTTTCAAGAGATAGTTGGAATTTGGTCAGTACATTTCTCTACTCTCATCACATAAGCCAGTGTAAATGGAAAAAAATGTGCACAGTTTTTGATTTTGAATCAATACTGAGTACATGAAAATGAACCACATATTACACATCTCTCAAGCTGCTCCAAATGAAGGAAGGATTTTTAGTCTTAAATTTAGGGCTTTTTTTTAGAGGAGTCTAGGAGGTCATCCCAGGCAGATTTTGAAGAATTAACTGGGTTGTCTGGTCGCTGAAAGAGACTCCTGATGATTTAAAGAGAGAGCTTTGAGTTAAATATACTGATTTACCAAAAAAGGGGGTACCAAACCACCCTCATTTTATCAGTCCTTGATGAAGTTAGGGAGGTTTGGCTGTTTTGTTCTCAGTGATTCAGTTTTAACTTGTGTTCTTACGTTCATGGAAATTATTTCAAAGGGCAACTGTAATGATTTTCTTTATAAAAAGAAGAGTTTTATGAAAATGTCACCAGAACATGCAATTGCATGGTGGATTCTCTGTAGGTTTTGATTATATAGCTCTTGCCTTCTTTTCCCATATGTGTTTGGAGAACTGCATGTGCATATGGAGGTGATGTGATTGGCAGCTTGGAAATGGGAGAGTTCCTGTAAGCAGGGGAATCCTAACTGCAGTAGAGCTCTGTAAATGTCCTAGCCTTATGAGCTGGAAGCACCAGGTATCCCTGTAAGCTCTTACTGCTCTTACCTTAGCATTCTAAATCACACTTGTGCCATCAGATTTTTGTGCCATTCCTTTTTCCCCCTTGTTGTTTCATTTCTACCTTTTGCTGTGCTTTGCCTTCCTCTCCTCTTTGGTGTAATACCTCTACCCTTTCTGCCAAAGCAGCTCTTCTGTTAGCAGCTCAACTCTAGTTTTTCATAGGTCAGCTATGTAAATTCCAGGGGAGACAGGTTTCACATTACCGTTTGGGTTCTTAAATAGCAAGCAATAAGTAAACTGTTCCATTTTAAAGCATATGCAACTTTCTGGTAATTTACAACAAACATCGAGTATTTTGCCTCTTTCTTGGCAGCAGCCTAATGGAAACTTGGGCTTAGGACTCAGACTGCAATTTGAATACATTGTTTCTAATATTCACAGTGAAAGGTGCATTGTGGAGAAGGATGAGTGTTTTCTGTGGTTCCTTTTTGTTATAAGAGAATGGATCCAATGGTTTTCCTATTCAAATAATTTGAATCTTTGAGACATGTCTACTAAATGTGAATAACTGTAAAATGCAAAATTTCTAGTTTACATGGCACATAACTTACTTACCTATTACAACTACTTTGTAGAAAATAGTATATTGAAAAAACTGGAGCTAACTTTATTCTGTCTGCAGTCATTAAGCACGATCTTAAATACATGTATTTAGCATAAATTTTCATACACTCATTTTATTAAACAGAAGTTTGGGTTCTGTGCTCTGTTGTTTGAAGTCATACTTTGGATATTATTTACATTGAAATTCTTAATTAATGAGGCTTTATTAAAGCACTTGTGGAAAGTAGCCACTGTAGTATTAACTAATATTCTGAAAATAGAGGTTCTATCAGCATTCTTCATTTAATATTAAAATTGGTTAGATGTGCCTTAATGTTACCCATTGAAATAAATGAAAACTTAAAAGAAATCAGAAGTCCCTTTTTAAAGTGCTGCTAGTAGGAAAACACAGCTGAGTGTACTAGGATTATGGAACAATTACATATCTACAATTAAGGGTTAACAGAGCTGTGGCAAGCTCTGTGATTACCATAACTGTGGTCAACATTCATTTCTGCTCGCTGCTGTGGTGTTTTTTGGTCAGCATGTCTAACCACCATAACCACAGCAAAATCTTTTAATTGCTGAACAGATGTATTTCTTGGTCGTTTTCATCATGACTGAACTGAGGCTTTAATGTTGATGAGAGCACCAGGAGTGCCACCTTCCCCCAGCCATGCCTTCAGTTGCTTGGATCAAGAGTGTCTCCTGTTGACCACATTGAGAATATATACACTAAATACTGCCAGGGAGACAGACCACGGCTGGAATATGCTGTGTTGTAACACACACAGATATCATATAGACAACCCAGGACAGTGGGATTTATTCTGTTTTTATCTGGATATTCCTTCCTTTTCATAGAGCCTAAAAACCAACTATGATGCTTCGTTAGCAAAAGGTGATGAACTGAATGAACAGCAGTTAAAATAGTTCCATCCTCAAAACAAATTGCAATCAGCTATTTCAAACAGAGGGACAGAGGAGGTGAGGCTGTGGGCAAGAGCTAGAATCTTTTACTTTAGGTAGTGCATACAGATAATGGAAAAAGAAATGTTGGGATACATTTCAATGGAGGAGATATGAATAGACCTTTCAAACATATTTAGAAGACTGACCTGGTACTATATCTATTTTTATCCTATTCAAAAGAAAAGCTTCTGACCAAAATGCTGTTTGTATTTTATAGAACTGTGAACCACACCTGATCCAAACCACCAGTGTTTGGAGAATATTTGAAGTTAAAGCATAAGTCATCATGTCAATTCTGGTACTAAAAAAGTGGTTTGTTAATAGAAAAAAAACATAATATTCAGTATATTGATCATATATTGCTAGTTTTTAGTATTCTTTGAACCTGATTTAATTCGGTTACAGTGTTACATCTTACGCAGCAGTTCAAGTCAGTCACTTCTATTTCTTTGTCCAGTCTGAGAGACTTCTGTCATCACTAAAAAGTTGTCCAGATACAGGACTAAACATCAGATGGGGAATAGTTTCTTCCCCATTTTCTTCAATGTATAAGGAATAAAAATGTGAAAACCTACTTGATTTTTCTTGCACTTTGTAGCAACGTACATTTAGTTTTACCACCTGCTTTACCTATTGCAAATAAATGTATTTTTCATGAACCAAGTTTACCTCATAGATATTTTCACCAAATGTTTTAAGTGTTGTAATGCATGGAGAGTAGATATTCTCTGTTTAAGTATCTCATGTGTTTAAACCAGAGCCTGCTGTAGTGAGTGTTTTGGAAGCAAGGGTGTGTTTCTTCTATAATGTCACTAAAAATATTTTCTATGCAAAAGCCATGCCCTAGCTAATAATGATCTAAAATTACTAAAAGGGAATTTAAAAGTATAACATTCCAGGTTTTTATATTGTTTTGTGTGAGATGGAATGTGATTAGATACTGTTGATCAACTGCAACATGCTACTCTCACCATCTAAACAGCATGGAAAAGACTTTGGGCCTAATGTAAATCCATGTGGATTTATCTTATAAAGCTTCTAAGAGACAGTTGTATTAAAAGAAGAAATAGTAGCCTGGACACTGCCTAAAAATTATTTGCTATTTCTGTTCACACATTCATTGTAATTTCATTTTGTTCTGTGCATTACTTTGAAATGTCTCTCTTCGTTTTAATTACAGGAAGGAATAAACAATCCAGAAAAAGAGAATGAACTCTTGAACAAAAACTATGATAAGCTGTGTTAGGTAAGTTAGGGTTTCTGCATACAGTCTGGTCCTTTTTTAATAGATCTTAATATACTGTGTGCTGTAATGTGTCTATATATATTTTGTGCTTTTGCACTCGTGTAATTCTGTTCAGGCTGCTGTTCATCATATGACTGTATATGGAAACTCTCAGGTGCTCTGCTGTATTTCATTGGCTCTCTGTAAAAAACCTAACAGCTTAAAACTTTTTTTTTTTTTACTTAGGAATTGCAACAGTTATATAAGCACAAAATTTAGAGTTTTGTATGCAGAAGTTGGTCACTTGTCTCTCACTTAAGTTAATTGCTGGAGACTTCTCCAAAATTTGATCATGTCATAAATATTTCTGATGATGTTTTTGTTTATTCTCAATCATTTATTCAGAGAAATAATTCTTACTAATAAATCAACTTAACAATCTTGTCTTGAAATTTTCTGTTCTACTTAAAAACATAATGGGATGACTTAAAAGATATTTAACAAGAGAAATTGAAAAGAAGTTTCCATTATATTAATCTATACTATGGTGTTTCTTTCATTAAAATGATCTGTCTTTTCATATACTCTCATTTAAACATTGATTCATCTTTCTCATTCCATGTTATTGTATAGGTATCAATAAATTAGAAAGAGAAGGATTATATAGCCACCATTTAATGGCCAGCTTTTTTGGTTGCCTCTTTGAACAATGCAACTTTACTAGAGCTTACCTGGGCTAGCCGTAGATGGGCCAGTGTCCACAGGTGCCACTTTATTAATAATTTTTTTTTCAATTTTTAAATGGAGGCAAAGGTGCATAAACCCATTCTTTGCTAAAGTTATTTTTGGGAAATTTGTTTGATGTTGATGGGAATTTTGTCAAAGCCAAGACTGCAGAACTGGATCTGAAAAGTTTGCAAAGAACAAGTATGAATTTGTCAGTTGACTCTTATTATTTAGTCAATATCCAAGAAAACAATTCGTTTGTATAAAAGGTTTGGAGGAATTGTTTTCATATGACCTTGTAATGCAAATCTAGCAATGTTTAAACTCCCTCCAAAGGAAATGGTGCCAGATGTGGTTGACCATTATAGTTACACAGATGGCTCCAACTCCAGTGAAATACAGTAAATATGAAAGAAATTCCACATGAATTCAAGTAAATGTAATCTTAAAATGTGAAAGAAGAAAGCAACACACGTGGACTCAATTGAAACTGACATAAACATTAGCATTATATAGGCTCAGATAAAACCTGTCTTCTAAAATGTTCTTCATTTAAACATCTAAATTCTTAACTACCATAATAATAATGCCTAATGATTTTTCTGCCAGTACAGTCTTCTAAAAAACTGAACTAATACCTGGCTGCATCCTTATGGGAAGTAATTGTAGCTAATGCTGATGAACTCACATTTAACTGGGTGTTACGGTCATTCAAACTTGAACACATTTTCAAAAGTGTGGAAACTGACAGCATTTCTTTTCTTTTGAAGAGAGTTTTTTCCTTATGGAAGCCAATCAAACTCTAAGCAATTAGAGAACACACTCTCTTCTGCACCTTTGCAATACTGTGGAATGGTAGTGGATTCAGTGCATTATATTACCTGTACAATACCTTCAAAATTATAGGAGAGTGATGCATGTATTACTGCAGGATGTAGAAGCTCTGCTTTAGTTCATGCATGCTGTGAAAACAGTCACACCATAAAATGCTCTATGCCTAGACAACTGTGTACATAGGTTAGATATAGTATGAGAAAAACACAAAATACAGGGATATAGAACTTTTTAATGAGTAATACATATCAGGAATATAAACCCTATATACTGTAGGGCTTGCAATTCATGCTATAATATTTTATTTCTGTAATCTTAAAGTCATTCTTCAAATATATGAGGTAAAAATGCACTCACAGGTACTCAGAACTCTCAGCATGTAGAGTCTGTGAACCCATGTGGGCTGTCCCTTCTGCAGCACTTCTCTCTTTTTGTGATCAAGGCTTGTTACATATATATCTTGGAGAGATAGGTGGATAAATAAATGGATATCAGAGGATCTCAAATGCATTGATGTATGTAATATATGCATTTTTTATGGCTGATGAGCTTCACCAGAGTTGAGGAACTGACTTTGTTTTTTACAAAACTCTACAGTTACTGATTTTTCACAGAGAACAAAAGTGAATAAACTGGTTTGTGCTTGGTGAAGATTGACATTTCTTCAGTAAATAAGAATGCAAATATAGTAATATGAAGACTATACCACTCACTGTCTAATTTATATGAAAACTTATTGCATAGCTTTGTCTTTTTGCCTACTGAGAATTACACTGTAAATTATATGATGTACTTAATTTAGTTTTAATCTGAGTAACACTTTTTGTTGTGGTTTCAGCAGTCCTCGTTCTGTGTCCATGCAATCCTTATTGCACATAGATTGGTAGTTTACAAGTAAATAATGTGTTACAGGCAAAGAAGTTATTCTAATTTCTTGGCTCTCCTCTTTTTTTTTCTTTAAAGTAGGAGAATGATTACTTTAAATGTGCTTCTTAATCAGTATCAGAATTGTTGTTTTACAGTATGAGAAAACTGTTGTCACTTTGTGGTCAACATTTTTCTTTGAACAGGCAACTGACTTTATGCTCTGCATGTTTCACAGATTTAAAAGAAATCAGGTGGATGATCCCAGTTCTCTACATTAAGAGGTTTTGTATGCGGAAAGAATGGTTTTGTTAGTTGTCAGTTGCTGAGGTTTAGAGTTGTGGATTATTCTGGGATATGCATCTGAATTCCTTTTCTAGTCCCACAAATGTTGCATGCTGCCAACTTTTTGACTTTGGATCTCTAAATTAAGGCCAGTTCCTTTGCTCATCCCACAAACTCTTTCATGTTTTTTAACCGCAGCCTGAGAAAGGCGCCTTGGTTTCAACAGCAGCAGACCAGCATGTGTTTACTTAATTCCTAAGACATGATGACAGTGGTCTCTGTGCCACTAAAAGCTTTTTTCTTTATTATTTTCTGTTGAAGCTGATTTCTAAAAGTTTTTCACATGCCATGTGTTTTATTACAGTGTCTTCTGTATGACCCATGAGCAGCAATGGAAATCAAAGGAACAGCAAATGAAACTGCAAATTGCTAAACTAGAGATGGCTATCAAATCTGATTTAGCAGACAAAAATGCAATCCTTGACAAGATCAAAGTAGAAAGAGGTATTTTTCTGAAAAAATCTAATATTTTCTCAAGATGTGAGGTCATACCTATGTTGAAGTTCAGGAATATTGCCCAGAAAAGTGTAGTTTCTATTGCTGGTGATTTCAAAGCTGCCTTTTAAGTGAACATTTGTACAATATGGTAAGGTTATGACTAGCTATTAAGTACAAAAATTCACCAAATACAGATTATATGCTGAATGAGGCTCATATTTTTTCAGCTGCTGGTTAATACTTACTCTTTATTCAGTGTTTCTTCTCTCCTCTACACTGAAAGCTCTTACAGAAAAGAGGCCCATCTGACATCCCTCAAATTATAAGCCACTATTCTATTTACTGTACTAAGTTACATGAAGCCTTTACGGGCCCTTGGCCTTGTTTAATTGTCTTTCAACTTCATTAATTCAGATTTTTTTAATATTTTCAGTATACACTGATTTTTATTTACAACTATGTATAATCTACTAACAATATTATTTAATATGTGGTTTTCCTGTGCTGTAGGGCAACTTCTCAGTGAATATTTATGACTTTGCAATCTCTTTTTGTATCTCAGCACTGTGTTATATACTGTGGCAATATATAAAGTTTAGGCCAGAAGTAACCTAAATATTTTTAGACTTGATCCTTCAAATGTTTATTTTTTAAAAAGTCTATTTCTGTGAACAATCTAATGGAATGAAGTGGACCAACTTGTTGTGAATAAGTTCTTCTTATGAATATGGCTTCAGTTCACCTTGTGCTTACTATTAAGATTCTGAGTAGCTTCATTGACATCTAATACTAAATTGAACATTTAAACATTTTCTTTGACCACAGCAAGTGTTTGCAAAATTTGTCTGAAGTGATACTAATATAAATAAGGATACCTTAAGCTACATTAATATCAAGGTACAACATACTGGCAGTTGTTACCAAGACCTTGATTATATAATGCTAAATTTAAAATTATATTCAGAGCATGAAAATATCATGGGCTGTACTATTATTTGGTTAAGCTAAATTTGGAAAATTAGGCAATGCTTTCCATCTTCTGTCCTTCCTATGGGCCCAATGTTTAAGTGACAATCTTTGCCTTCCCCAGATTGGCACTTCATAGCTTCTTGGCACTTCATAGCTACTTGTAGTACCACCAGGGCACGACACTTTCAATTGCTGTTTAGTTGCAGCAGTTTGCATAGATGTTCTAACACCCTTCAAGCCCTGTGTGTCTAGGATTTGATTACAGCTTTTTATCATTGCTACTGCAGAAGTATTCCCAGGATCACAGAATGGTTCTGGTTGGAAGGGGTCACAGGGGATCTCGCAGAATTGTAGAACATACTGAGTTGGAAGGTACCCACAAGGATCACCAAAGAATAGCTTCTGGCCCTGCACATTTTGCTCTTGTTTGGATGGAGTTTATTTTGCCTTCCCTCTAAAAATTACCAGTATGTAGCAGAGGGAAATAATGAATAAATGGAATTACTTTAGCGTATAGCTAAATAGGTATTGTGAACAAGTGGTTTGGCCACTTAAACACTATCAAAGGTTTAGGCAAAAACAGGGTTTAATATGACTTTGTGAAAACATGACTTTGCTGAGTTTGTTGGCAAAACTTATTACACAGATTAAAGCATACAAAGGAAGATTACACTAGAAACAATTTGGAATGACTTATACTGAAGTCTGGAATGAAAAGGGGGTAAGTGTGCCATGATATGGATACAAATATAAGGGTGCAAAAGCGTTTACCAGCACTTAATCACTGAGTATTTTAACATTTAAATGTTTACCAAGCAATTCCATAGAATTCACTGCAGTTATAGCAATGACTTGGATGTAGGTGTGAGATAGTAACATTCATACCATAATCAGGTAAAGTGATGTGTGCACCTATTTGTATGTGTGTACAGGTACCCATCAACCTAAGAGGTATCTACCATTAATTCAGTGAATAAATCACATGAAATCCATTTGTGTTTCCCAACAAACCCCAAGGGTTTAGATCTCAAAGACTTTGGAAATGTGTGGGTGGGGATCAGCCCAGGCTTTGCTGTCTGCCATGTCCTTCCAGTGTGGCAGATCTGAGGGTGGGTGAGCCCTGGGAGGTGCCCATGCACAGGGAGGTGCTGGCGCTGCTGCAGCTCTCCAGGAGTGCCCAACGGGGCCTCGCATCTGTGGGGTTTAACACAATTGACTTCACTAAGTCATCACTAAGTTTCCATCCTGGACACAACCCTGCAATGTTGTATCCATTGATGAGGTTTTATTGTACATAATTGTATTCAAAGGGAAACAAGGGAGTAAGATTACCTCAGAGTAAGTTATGTACTAAAGATATTTTACCTTAGAGAATGTTTCTGCTGTGTGACAAGGCTGATTCTTTTTTATATGATATTAGTTAGCTTTGAAACAGAAAATGTTGTATAATTTAGTTGTAAAATTGCTAACTGAATAAGATAGTAGTGGAGCAGGTTTTTTGGTTTTGGTTTTTTTTTTAAAAACTGAGTCGTGTAGAACTGAAAGAGCTGAAATATAAATGAATCGGGAAGTCTAAGAAGTTGTATATATGTTGACAGGTACCAAGTGATTATAATACTTATGTTTTCACAAATATACATAGTTAGAGAATTTCTATTTACTGTATTAATTATTTGTTACTGGAGTTGACATCTTCTCATTGTTTCCTGTGCTGCATAAGCAATACCATTGTTTAAAGACTTTGCGTAATGAATATGGGCCATAACTCTTCAAGTTTTGAACTTTAGTAAGTTTTACTATTCAAGGGGTGTTATAAAGACTGTAAGTTTATTTTTTTATGTAGCATATGGGACAGGAGGTTAAACAAGAAAGGCTATCAGATGATAAGGTGGAGATGGCTGAAGAAATTGGTCATGAGACAGAAGAGCTCTCACATCTGTCAGAGGAGCAGTTAGCTGACCAAATATCAATTACTTCTGGAAATGAGAGAGAAATAACTGAAGAATTGGAACCAGAAGGTGGAATTCATCTTTATGAATAAGTAACTGTATTTTGTTAATAAATCTATGTCTCTTTCCATTTTCTTAAGCATTTCTTACTAGCAGTGGGAGCTGCCTCGTTATGAGAAGCTCCATGACAGAAATTATATTCTGGTGTACTTTATAGCTGAAGCTGGGTAGTGGATATGGTGGTGTTATTTTCTTCCCAAATGGAAACTGTATCATAATTGAATGCAAAAATCTGGTATCTGACCTAGATTCATAAAATATTAAGGGAAACCTGGCTTCTATTTTAAATGTCTTTATATTCTCCCTTAGAACTATGCTGTTCTAAAGACCATTTTAATGAATATGCTCCTTTTGTCTGCAGATAACAGCCAATGCTGCTATTGGAAATCCTTTCAGACAGAGAGAGGGGTAGTATGTCTTATCATATTCGTGACTTAAAGTTGTTAGAGGCAGATTTATTTAAAGATTATAAAAGGCAGGTCATTCTGTTCCACCTCTGAGCTTAAACTGTTTATGATTGAAATAAACCAAGTCCGTGATACCAAGTTTACAGTAAAAGCACAAACAGAATGCTAAAATTTCATGTTCATTTGTTTGCAGCTTCTGCATAAGAATACATTAAAAAAATTGGAAAAATATAATGTTGAATCCCTGTTGTGTTTATACGTAATTTGCTTCAGAGAAGAAAAACTCAAAATGCTCTGAAATAATCCACCTGCATGCAGAACTATTTTTTTTATTTAAAAAAGGGATAAATTATTCTTTATGTGTGCATGGTGTTAAACATGGTCAGAGGAAATCCACAAATTCAGGCCATATTTCTGTATAAAGCTAACAGTTGTTCATACCTCAATTCATCACAGGACTTTTATCATTCCAGTCCTCAACTTTCATCTGGGAAGCACTACTACTTTGTTTTTACAAACCAGAAAAAAATACAGTTTAGGTGACTATAAAGGTTATTGATTTGCAGGGTTAATCTTCTGCAAGGAAGAGAAGATTTGCCTGGCACATATTCTTCATTTGTTAGTAAAGGACCTGTATTGCTCTCAGGTTCCTCAGCAAAACTCAGATGGACTACAGTAAAGGGGTTTAGCCACATTGATTCTTCCAGTGTTTTCCAGATCAAGGTGATAGTGCTTTTGAAGCAATAAAATCTGACAGAAATAACTGTATTATTTCAGGTCCATTATCCAGTAATATTAAACAGCTGAGTCAGAATGTTTATGGCAATTATTTGGCCAGACTAAAAAAATATTTTAAACCTAATGCAGTCTAAGAGTAGCTTTGCTATATCTAACATCAGTTTTCAGTTAAGTTATGTATGTATGGTATCAAATCACTTCAGTGTACTTCTTTTTCTATTATCATTTGTGGCCAAGTGCACTAATCATGTTCTCTTGACTTATTCTTAAAATCAGCAATTAATTACCACAAAGACATATATAAAAAAATAAGACAACATTAATACAAATTTGGAAAATTTTCTTTGAACAGTATTTCAGTAGGATAGATTTAAAAAGAAAAAAAAAACCTCTATTTTTTGATCTAACCTTGAGTGAACAATGTTAAAAAATATAAAACTAGTAAGTAAAATTAATGACAGTGCTTCTAACAGTTAATACTTCTCTGATCTGTCTCAGCCTTCTTTTAAAGGACCAGGACTGTACTGTTAGATCCTATCAGACTTCATGGCTTTTAATGTTCTGCAGTGTGATATCCTAGAGGTAGCTGGATTTTTTTTTTAAATGCTCTTTTCAAGGCTGTGAAACATCCTGCAAAGCAACTAGCAACAAGAAGCAATTCTTTATATGAGAAATATAGCTGTTATTTTTTTAAGCTGTAGAAGAGGTTTAGAAATGCTATCACTCATATATTCTTCAGAAAGATGAAGAAGGTACTTTTGAAGATAGAATCGCATTGTTTATATGTATATTGTTAAAAACAATGTCACCTGTAATTTTGAGAACTAAAATTAGAGCTACTCATCTCTATTAAGTCAAAATATAATACATTTTTTCTGTAATT